TTTTTTTTCATTTTTCAATACATGTAAACATTAAGTACTTGATTGGTAAGATAAAATTGTTATCACAGTGCATTTTTGTTCCTTTTAATGACTCTATACTAACTAAATATGCAGTAATGTTACGATTCATGTCATACATGAACAATCTTTTCTTTATAGAAGATTGAGGACGAAAAATTAACGAAACCGATCATTGTCGCGGTATCGCATTCATTTTATTTTTATTTGGCCGCTAAAGAGCCCATCACATGCCTGCTTTGAATCGCCGTGGTAATATGTCAATATATAAAGTGGTAAATAATGCGGCGACTGGCGACAAATTACAATTATTTTCGTTATAATTTGGCGTCCATTGAAATTTGCTAGAATGAGGTGAAAGATGGATTTTACACAGCGTAGATTATGGGACGTACTTGAACTAGTTATAAAGCGGAGTTGTGGTGTTTAAATGTCATATAACTAAACTGAACCGTGTGTAACAACATTAAGACAACATGCAGATTGGTAACATATATTTTATTTTTAAAAAATACCTTTGAAACGGTAAGATATTCGGTATTGCACAGAAATTTAGACACTACACACATACGTATACTATTCCATATAAGTGATGGCTTTATGATGTCAGGAACATGCAAAGCTGGTTTCTATTCTTTATAGTATAACGAAAATCTGTATTACTAGACTGTTGAGCGAGACATTACCTATATTGATACAATAACGTGAGCAACAATATATGCATGAAAAACGGCGTATTAGTCGTGTACCAATGTTAGTATTCAAGTTAGCAGGCGTCCTATTATAACGCTTCATGTCGTTGAAGACTTGATTTGGTAGAACTTTGTGAAGCCATTATATAGTGTTGGTTAGATAACTGCTTTGACGATATATTACGTCTTCTTGCTCTTACTAGCTTTCTATCCTTGATGTGATGTGATGAGGTGGCGGGTTGTACGCTAATGAAATGGTTCGATGTTGGACGACCACATACCTCTTTCAAATGTTTTTCATATTTACGATTGAGGCGACGGTCACAGTTCTCCTCACCAAATTCTAATACATCTCGTAAATACGTGATATAATCGATGGCTGCTTTCAGTGTATTCATTTTCGACAATTGTTTCCTCCAAACGGTGTACATGATTTGGGTAAAATGTCTCGTAACATGTCAAAGCCATCTCTAATACTATTCATTCGGGCTCTCTCTTTGGAGTTGGCTAATTTTCTTGATTCTACTTTACAGGACTGTTGTATCTTGATTGCATGCACTGGTTTGGTGTCAACTTCATTTTGTATACCTCCGAGCGAGTCGTATATTTCCGTTGATTTGGTAGATCTGAGTGTCTTCTTGTCACCATCGATATAGTGACTTGCACGGCACACTGACTCACTGGATTCCAATGGATATACTGGATGTAAACTATCATTTTCGATCTCTGTCTTCCCATTGGTACCATAAAGACGTGCGAATGAGCACGTAGTGTGACCAATCATCTGAACACCATGCAATGGAACGTATTCGGGATTCATATAAATCTGATATGGTGAATAGACGTCACTGCTTGTCGTTTTTGCTAAACTTGGAACAGGTCTTTCCATTTTAACTCGAGTCATATTGACGGGTTATAGTGAACAACAGATGAGATACAAGGTGAGATGTCCACTCGATGCTTTCAAGACACAACCTGATATTAGATGCAGCAATGCTCCGCTATTTATCTTCTGCACAATGGCATTGTCGGCGAATTCTTTGAAGCATTGGGGACAAAAGATACGTATGTGTGAAGCATCATTTTTTGTCAACACAAAACATCAAACCGAAAAGACTACTATATTAGGAGGGTCGCTGATTGGGTAATCAAAATTATTATGTGGGTGGGTGTAGGTTTTTAGTAAGAATTATATCAGATTAATGAGATGAGAACAAGCGAAGATGACATGTGTCACTAGAGGGCGTTTACTACTACAATTTACATTATGTACACATGAGGGCGTTGTTTACCACAAATGAAGACATATAAATTGTGATTTAAAATGCTAGCTATAAGTGCTCGCAATGATTGATTGCATCGACTACTTTTGGTTGCTGCTAAAACATTGGAATAGGTGTAAAATAAAGTATGTTTTCAACTACTGGCTGTAAGGATTTGTGAACGTCGTACGTGATCAATAATTGGAATACAACATATAAAATAACAAAAATGTACTTGTCTAACTCTGTAATTCTGATTACCAAATTGATGCAAATTGATCCTGTGTTCACAATTTTAACGATGACTCGCCTAAAATGTGGAAGATTTTATTATAATGTGCAGGTATAGGCCATAGTAATTAGTACCTGAAAACTTGACTCCCTTTGATGTAGAATCATCAAATCGCGTTTGGCCGATATACAACATATAGAAATAACAAAAATATACTTGTCTAACTCTGTAATTCTGATTACCAAATTGATGCAAATTGATCCTGTGTTCACAATTTTAACGATGACTCGCCTAAAATGTGGAAGATTTTATTATAATGTGCAGGTATAGGCCATAGTAATTAGTACCTGAAAGCTTGACTCCCTTTGATGTAGAATCATCAAATCGCGTTTGGACGATAAGCGATCAGTTAAGTGATTACCTGTCAATATATTATGCGTGACAAGAATCTTGTCATTAATCTCTCAGAAATCCACTTTGGCAGTGACCACCTCTGTAATTCCACTTGAACCTGTGCTGTGCTGTTTTTAATTATGCACTCCATCAACATAGACTTGGCGTTGTTGATATTTATCATGACACCCAGTCCTGGTATTCAGAAAATATCAAACAGCATGAAGAAGGTTGTGGACAGCTTGCTCAATTTCTCACACAGTACCTTATTAAAGTGGAAAGCCGTTTCCTTCTTATCAGTTTTCCTCGAACCTCTAAGTCTTTAGAGCGAAGTGGTCTTTGGGCCAATTTTTAAAGAATATGCCACGGCAGAAAATAGCAACAACATCCACAGAATTTGTGATCCATTCAGAAATGAAGCTTAACATGTCTCTCAAAGAGCTTCTGTCTGCTTCAAGGAGCAAGAGTAAAATAACGTCCATATTTAGATTTGCTAGGACACTTTTCCAGTGATAATACATTCAAGCTAGTTGTTGTGTGTGAAACAGAGATAAAAGGTCAGGACTTTGAAGAAAAACATTCACATGAAGAGGCGGATACCCTGACCCCCCCCCCCCCATCAAGCTTTGGTTTCAATAAATAAGAGTGTTCAGCGAGAAGAGTGTGGTTGGTCACCTGACACTGTTGTCCTCACACTTTTGCTTGATTTGGCCTCTCGTGATCACCTTGGGGCTCAAACTCGTCGAAAGTTTAACTGGTAAGGGCAACACGTACAGAGAAATTGATGTGGTAGGTCGGGTGTGAGTGATTGGATTTTATAAATGTCAAGGACTCGTTGGGTTTCTTATTTTCTCTGTAGCTAACTGGGGTGGAAAATTTGTAGGGATTTCCAAGAAGACCTGGGTTGGTTTCCACTTAAAGCTTAATGAAGATGACTCTGCCATCAATGGTAAACTGCCAACGCAGATCAATAGCTTGGAACAGTTTTTTTGTAGAGTGTATTGTACAACAGGTCCCACAACCTTATCAGCAGTGCGGGGGGAGCTATTTTGTTCAAAGAACTTGGAGGGAGAGCTGTTAGCTCCTACACATATAAACATTATAATTTCAATCTTAGCAAGAAGTCAGTGAAAGTCACTTGTAAGGTTTTATTCTAATGTGTCTTCTTCAGTTATTGATGGTACCAGTTTGAAATTATAATATTGAAACAACATGTATGTCCATTCATGTAATTTATAATGACTTTGGCATTGTTTAGTATTTTAAACCGGTGATAGCCAGTTAAAACTTTAGATTGTTTTTGGTGTTGTAAGTTTTACATCTTTAGTCAATAAAGTCTGGTTTGAAAGGAACTATCTGTGCATAAATTTAAAAGTGCGTGTCAAGTAAGATAAATATAACTTTTGCTAAGGTGCTCATTTCCATGGAACATCAGTTATAACTAAAAGTCAGTGGCAGGTGTTTCTAATTATGTTGAAAGAATCATGAATGCAATCAGCATAATCAAAAACACCAAAATGACCCCATGGTCATGAAAATAGGTTTACTACTTTTAGTAAAGATAGACATGGGGGCTGGCGGAGAGGGTGCACAATTAAAAGCCTCGCCCTGGAAGGGGTCAAGGGGTCAACAAAATTGAACCCCTTCATTTTCCGATAATTTGACCAAAATAAAGTCCAATAAAACAACAAAAATCAATTTTACAACAAAAATCTTACGGGGCTGTTTTATTGACGCTTCGAACCACACTATATCCCACAATGGAATATAATAAGTGAAAACTGTCATTAACATTCCAAGACTAATTTAGCTAATGATGACACTTCGACTGAATGAACTATTGTCCTCAAATACAAGCTGTTCATATTACAATTGTTAGATACTCCTAATACCATATCACTATGACGCGCGTTATGTATGCGTTTGTTATTACCGTATATTGATCTGTGTGTTTTACATATGTGTTGTGCTTACACACGCCACGCGTTACATGGCAAGTCAGTGTGATACCCAAAAGCAGAGGTTAACAGTTTTGACGGTTATTCACTAAAAAATGCCGCGCTTTAGATTTTGCGGGCGTGTTCCCTGTGTAGCAATCCTCGCAATGGTGTTCTATTTATGTGTTAAACACACTCATGTCGTCACGGATGTCGGTACGTCAAGAAAAATTATAGAATATGTCAGGTACGTAATTCTTAATAAAAGGGAATTAAGGTCCACTGTCTTATAATAAATTTATCTTCACTTGCATAACAAATTTATTATTATTATTTATCACGCAGGCGTGGCTCTCTCCCTGCATTACGTAACGACGAAATGTCAGAAAAAACAGAAAGGATCGTTTCAAAGTATGCATGGGTTTTTAAAAAGAATTATCTGCCAAATTTTTACCTCAGACCTACACAGAAGAATTTATACTTGTCAGACCATGTGTATAGCAATTCCACTATAGTATTCGTTCACAACCAGAAATCAGGTGGGTCTAATACTAAATATTGTTGGAAGAGTATTCTACGCGATGAGGGTCGGGATTTGCCGATACTTGCCGCAAACACTAACGCCGAAGAGTTCTACACAGAGATGTTACACAATGAATCAAATCAACGACTTGCCCAGTCTTACATGGGTGATTCAACCTTTGGTATATGTGACTTTACCGAAGCACCTTGTTCTTATTTTACGATGTTGAGAGATCCATATGAACGCGTCATATCGTCATATAATATGTGCAAAACTAGTACACAACAACAGTGCATTGTCAAAAACGCTTCCACACGTTCTGTGAATGAATGGGCGGTACACCAGGGCAGTTTCTTCTTCAGACAACTGTTAACGAATCCTGCGTTTTTTACTCCATTGTATATACAGCTTGTTGATAAGCTACGGGGACCTAATGACTCTGTCACAAATATGATCCCACCTTGGTGGAAAACTGAATTGATTTTACGACATTTGTTGACGAACGACGAACGGGAAGTGTTGTTACAATACGTTCTCGGTCGCCTGGAGTATTGGTTTGCTGTGATCGGACTGACCGAAGAATTTGATGAAAGTTTTTTGATGTTTGAAGAAGTATACAAACTTCCATTTCACACAAAATGCACACCTGAATACCTAATGAAAAAACGAAACTATACCGCAACTTCAGATGTTAACATAGGGAAAGATGAAATTGTCAAAACTTTGCGTGATGTTATGATGTCCGACCCAGAAGTCAGTCGTGCTCTTTATTATGACAACGAGATTTACAGAAAAGCTAAGGACACGTTTCGTCGCCAGAAACTATCATATGAGAATCGACAGACCCACATTTAGTAAAAGAATTATTATTCATGTCAGATTGCCCAAGCGCCAACACGTACAGTAATCAAAAACTCTATCATTACCATTTTAAAAATAAAATAAAATCCTAAAATTTGTTTGTGGAGCATGAATCTGACAGTGCAATGCTACAGTATCAAAACGATACTAATAGCTTTTGTGCAAAATCTGCCAACAGTACCGATTTTAGCAGTTTTCGGCCGTTGCTATGTAACCAGTTGCCACTATATATATACTAATTGAATGACATATCATCCAATCTGTTGACATTAGTATGTATTGAACTTAGTAAACACAGTACAAAGTCTGATGCGTATATTGCGTTATTAAATATCGGTTAATTCCTGTCCGAATGTGACTCAACTACCAGAATAAGCCGAGTAATTATGAAATAAATGAGTGAACATTTCGGACGAGTCTTTTGGTGAAAAAAAGTTTTTGCCAAAAAATATCTGGGTAAGTAGAGGAGATATGTGATTAATTGTAACCAGCTAACCATTGTTTCAGAAATACAACATTAGGCAAATTATTATGTGTCAATACCATTGAGTGGTTCACCGGAAATAAAATAGAACAGTGATGATTGGAATGTATGTGGCTGACAGTCAATGATGATAGTGATTTGCGACAGCTGCTACAGTTTTACAATTGAGCAGAGTGTTCACGTCAGTATGTGAATGAAAATAAATGGAAAGGCATGACCTCTTTGTAAGGTATCATATTTCTTCAGTGAAGATTTATTTTAGATGTTCTTTTTTACTTCTCAAAAAAGTGGAATTGGTGGTGTAGTAAATTGTATAGATTGTGAAAAGGCATTGCTAGTGTAAATCACGCGAATGATTTATTTTTTATGCTTTAGTTTCTCTCATCAGTGTATCAAAACACTGTACAATTATACATTATCAACATTTCGTCTTCTCTTCCGTCCCAATTAGCTTTGTTTTCCAGAGGTACATTGGTTTGTAAAATTGAGCAAAACGAAAATAAAGCATCCTAGTTATGGGATATGTGAGATAAAGACCGTAGATGACCATACGAGTCGTTGGGGAAAATTGATAAATACACGTCATCTTTGCGAAATTATATTGTTGTTGTTATCATACCAGTGTTCTGAATACGAGATATCGAGCAAAAGATGATATCTGCTGCAGACGTACTGTTACAAAATGTCCAATAAGAGAACTATTATTTAAAGTAGAGATGCAGGTTCGTGGACACTTGGGAGTGATATATTTTTTTTTTTTTTGCTTTTTATTATCCAAACAGTCTTGGCTATACACTTGTTAAAATTTTGTAGAATTGTGAATAGTGGAACATACTCAAAAAACGATTTTAAAATATAGATAACAGGTGCAATTATTCTCTCTTTTAAATGCTTAGCAAGATTTAGCAAGGCTGTACACGGGGGAAAAAAAGAAATGACGGGATCTCCATATTATGCACTATATTTAACTTTTAACAAAACGATAATACATTTAAATTTGGAACTGTTACAGCCATTTTAATTATCAGTATTAGCAAACTTCTTACTGAGGGAATTGTTATGCAAATTAGCAATTATCTCAGCTTCTTTTTAGTGCACAACCCAGAACTTTAAAAAAAATAGCTCCTAGACTCTTTGACCTTTTGTTTTGACATTTTCACAAATGATTAACAATGTGTTTATCTTCAAAACGGGGCATTGTTTTTGGTTGAACAGTGTTACAACAATCGTACAGACAACTAGCCTGGGTGTTAATATATGCATAAACTTATATGCATAAGTAGTGAAATTTGGGCTGCTGCCCTGCAAAATTGACAAATGGTAGACAGTTGTTCAAGACGGCACTTTCTTCATAGTAAACAGATGTACCCATAAACCAATTTTGACAGGAAATAGAAGCATGGTTCAGGAGCTAATTCTTTTTAAATCACTTTTGACCCAAAAAGCACATTTATGTGCATATTTCAAACTACAGTGACCAAAAAAAAATACTAACAACATTTTAAAATTCATACAATAAGCTTTCCGAAAATATATAGTTTTGTGGACAAGGGAGGTCATCTTGGTTTCCTAATTAACTAATTAAAATAGCTGTCAGGTAAACTGCATCTCTACCTTAAAGGCCCATTCAGCGCAATTGGTTCACCAAGTTAAATAACACACATGCAGATATGACATTAATTAACAACCATGGTGACATATCGGATGAGGAGTCTCTTTTACGTAAAATAGTGTGTTTATTCTTTTATAATACGGTCTGTTAGGTATTTAATCCGTCATGTTATCGCTTATTTTGGCTCGTTTCACGCACACAATTCGAGTGGTGCCACAGCTGGTGCGTTGTGTGGAACACAGTAGTCCTTGAATATGCATACCGCTCTACGCAGATGATACGTAGATAAGTAAGATAAGTAACATCAACGAGTTATGCAGTTAATTTTTTGTTTCGGGTGTTATATCATATTTGTTTATTGTTGTTGATGCTTTGATTATGGAAACCAGGGAGGGTTACGACCATGCTTTTCGAAAAGTGTCACACTTTTGGTATTTTATTTTTATCTTTTATTATTATTTGAATTCTAAAATAATTATGTCGACTTCACAATTAAAATCGATATCAAACTTTAAAGCATAAATAAAAATTACAAATAAAAATGCAATTTAGGGATTTGTAATTTTATTTCGCTTTAGAAATAGATTTACATTTGCAATCTTACTTTCCCCCTACAAAAATGGAATGACATTTGACAACTTTCTTTCACTGTGACAATGAATTCACATTTTAAAATGTACTTGTATTTTTGAAAATTGCTTTTATCTACCATATACACACTCGCTCAGCTTGTGATAAATATGTCAAAATCGAGTGGTTTATTGTTACATTATATTGTTTCAACTCTACAATAATTTCCGGCTCTTGCAGTGAGTTTGCAAAGCCTATTGTCATTTACATGAATACGCATCACTGTCTGCCGTCGGTAACACGAGCTTAGTTACGAAATAATGCTAACATGAAGGGGATAATTAAATAATAATCAACGATTTATACAGTGAAATATGTACTACCATTTATAAACCTTTAGTTGCGTGGTGCGATTGTAAATCGTATTACCATGCTTAGTTGGTATATGTACACAAAACGCAAAATACTAATTCTAATCTGTACGTAGAGTAGATGGCACGTTTGCGCAGTACCGATGCACTTATCGAAACACGTATTTTGCTGTTGGCTCTTTTATTATATCATTATTATGTGACATTGTATATGCGAATAAACAACATATGTTAAATATCTTAATAGAGCAATAATTAATACATGAGTAAATATGCATATATTCGTATCGAAATATGTATTTATTACTGTTAGAGAGTAATCGTCAAACACTAAATTCGTACTGCATATTGGCAATAAAATTAAAATGAATTTTATTATTTGTTGATATACCTTGTGCTATCCGTGGAAATACCCAAAATAATGAAATGCAAGGAAATAATTTACTGCTATATTTTAGCTTAAGCTCTTCATTCCGTGATGACTGCAAATAAGACAACGACAGCGATATGTACGATAAGCATATAAAATAGTCTTGGTGGATTCATGTTACATTTTCTTAGTCAGTAATGTAACCTTCGCAAGAAGTGGTTTAAGGAACGACCTACAAGAACAATGAAAATATTCGACACAATAAAGTGGTGTGTCATAAAGGCTGAACCAATGTACATGATGTTTGCCTGTTAATGAATAATTTGTATTAAGAATAATTAATAACAAAATGTATTCTCTATGTACTCATAAATAATTTTCCTAATATTACAGAAAAAAAAATATTATTTTTTATTTGAATTGAATTATGACTGAAATAAGCTGAATGAAATTACAAACTATGTAGTGTGTTCAACAGCTTATGTATGAACAATAACTTTAATAAAATATGATTTTACTCGGTAAAAATACTGTATTTTTTGAATAAAAACTAAAGAATGTCGCATTGTCGAAAACGGAAAGATTTTATCGCAGTGTTTTATGTTAACAGATGGCTAGTATGCTCAAATGTTTCAACTATATCCAGGCTTTCAAATAATATATGGTAAATGAGGAATTTGATTGAGATAACATACAGAGAATTCTTTACTTAAAAGCGTTCCTTCTTGCTAACTTAATGAAGGCGTGAACATGGTAACTATTCGAAATATATAAAAATTCCAATACTTGTTAAAGGTTATGACATGATGAAAATGTTGTCAATTTAGGTACTCACTAACCATATTTTATTATTCATAAAGAACATTACAATAATATATATGACTCACCAGACTGATTGTGTTGCCATACAAATACATATCGGTGCTGTGAAGCCATTGAATCCAGATGCGACAGCCATGGTATAGCCACCAAAATCTGAAATATAAAATGTCCAGTGCCTTGCCTTATTCATATTCGCGACAGTGAGACAAGCTGTAAATGATTCACTCACTTACTCTATTTCTTTGAGTATGTGAAATGTTGGTTTAATAGTGTGAGAAGCGAATATAAAGGAAATTTGATACTAACTACGTCACTGAAGTTCAACATCGGATTCAGTGTAGTATCATGTTGATGCATATGTATGTCGTGAGAACATTTTATTATCGACCCAATTGTCTACTTTTGGTATTAATTTATCGTGCAAATTATAACATGGTTGACATTTATATCTGCACCAATGAACAAAATACGTTAACATAAGTGATTTACGACGTTAAAATTAATACACATTTTGTGGACAGAATGCAAACGTATAGTTCAGTCTACAGTCCTAATAACACACGAGTAATTTGAGAGGAGTTTTGAAGAGCAAATCAAATCCAATGGGATGTGTACATTGTATACCAATATCATCTACTACTTTAATACACAGACTATAATATTACCTTCAAAAATGATCCAGTCTCCGATGTCCAGCTCTGGTAGCAGACAGTGACCAACAATCAAGTCTGCGCCATCACATGTTTGTCCCCAAATACAAGAGGAAAATTTAGGTGTGTTCGATTGAGCAGGCTGAATAAAAATAATGAAAAAAATTGGTTCAACACATTCACGGGCGAGTACGTGCTTGTGATTCAATTTACAAATCGTATACATATACATTAGTATAAAACACGCTGAATAAATCAATTCTAGCATACAGAATCATAAATATTCTAAACTCTTTTGCCATGAATTAAATATATGGGGAAAACTTACGTTGGAGTGTTTCTATTAACCTAGAGTCATTTGTTTGAGTTCAAGTAATGGTGATGCCAGGCGTGTTTCAATTGAAAAAAATAATATACAAACGTATTATATGTAGATCCTCTCACCTTCAATAATGTTGGCACAATTGCATAATGCAAATTACTGCATGATAATATATATCCGAATGACATGTGTTTACTATCATTACAATAATACATGAAACTTCTTTCCTTTTGTGTGCGTTCCACAGTGTCATCGGCTGCACCTTTAAAATTTAAAATATCTAATTTTATTTATCATCTTTAAGCTATAGCTGTGTTCAATCGAAAATATATTGAATGAATGCAAGAATAGAAAATGAATGAATGAGTGAATATTATTGGATGGGTTGGTCTGTGGTAGATTGATGTATTGTTTTAATATGATAATAGTACGGATTGACAGACAAAAGAGGTTGACTGATTGATTTGTCTACGAATTGTTGAGTGAAATTGAGATTTGGCTGAAGAAAGAAAATCTATTTATTTTTTAAAGTGTATCGTCATCAGCGAGGTATATGAAAAATGCATTTAACTCAAGTTTTGAAGCGATAGGTAGCTCAGGTTGACAATGATAACATCAGACCTAAACTGAATCCACACGCTGACTGCAACATATTCAAGACCTTATTTCAGCATCATGTCAGCTAAATATATGAACTATATTTATCATGTGTGGCTTTGATTTGACGCCGGTGCTGTTTTCATTAACAGATGTCCTGATTTGGACTAATTGTCAAACATTTACCTTTATTTGTACAAGTCTCTTTTTCTTTGAGACGTTTACCAATAACATTCACGGTTAAGGTGCATGCACTCCACACAAAATACAGTCCTGGCTCACTAATAATTCTCACATCACACCCTACTGGAAAATGTTCATTCAGTGATTGGTTGATCTTCTCTGCTATCTGTAACAATAATTATTATCAGAGAAAACTATAGGTTAGTGGTGATTTTACGCATTAAAATAGGGAATCATTGTACTCCTAATGCACACAACGCCACTATATGTAGTTCTGATAGTGGAATTAATTTTTTGAATATATCTAAATTACATTCATATGCAGGTCTTCTGGCTACTTGTATCTAGTTTATCTTACAAATAAATGTCAAACATGAGCTTGCCATATGACCTCCCGTGTTAGACCCACTAAATTAGGTGATATATCAGCGCCATTTCATCACATCCTACATGTGCAAGTTTCAAACTATAACACTTTTTCGCAAAGATAACATTGAACTAAGTCAATAATAGAATTGTCAATAATACTACTAAGATAGTTTATCGTAAGTAAGGCATTGTTTCAATGATATGTAATATACCACTAACATAATTCTGAGATCATCTAAGTTAAAGCAATTTAGCATAGCATGATGAGCCAGTTGATCCCATGCAAACATGTTGTGTTGTCAAGATGTGCCATCAAAGAAAAGTTCATTAGGGCTCCTACAAACAAATATACAGTTATTTTATTCTGCGGATAACTGTTACTCTTTCATAGAGAATACAGAAAATCACTGCGTGTTGTTGAATTCACCTAAAGCAGTCAGCTTTACGGTGTGGCTGGTCAACCTTGATAGTTTAGGACTGATAGTCCCGAAATAACGTTTCTCGTTAGGGTCTGTGACTTATACTAAACCTAACATGATAATAATAATAATAATTTAAGTTGAAGTTAGCTATAACATACTCAACCAAACTAATGTAATATGGCTACAATTTGGTAACGTGAACCCATGATCAAAATCTTATACATTCAAGTATTCACATAAGTATACTTCAATTGCGACCAGTTTAACAAGTTATTTAGATTGAATACATTCACATTTTTAGATAATTTGAAATGAAAGATATTATTGGCAAGTTATACATGTATGTATTACCTCTACTAAGGTTATATTACGTTGTTTGTTTGGAGGAGGAGAAGGGGGCAGGAGGAGCAGAAGGAGGTGGAGTTTGACCTTAAGAAAAGGATTAATACATTAAATGTTGGAATCAGCAATTCCAGGTAAAAATTTTAATTTATGACTTAAAAGTTGAGAATGTATTTCCTGGTTTAGAACCCGGTTGACATAGGAACAGCAGTTTATACAGGATCCTTCATTATTTTATCACTGCCAGATACAGTCATCTTCTGACTCATTGCATGAATTCACTATTCAATTAGAAGACATACAATAGTGTAATATTATATTAATAGGTAATTTCCATCTGTGGTGAAGATTTATGCTCACAGAGTGTCTAGCTAGGAATATATGGATCCTAAGGGAATTATCACGATCAATAATCCGCACCATTGCTTAACATTTATATTAACATTAACATAATATGATGCATTACAATACGATACGATGATATATGAAAGTGCGGTTCTTGAATAGTAACAACTTCCAGGATCAAATACATGCAAGCACAAACCAACAATGTTTTCAAACTCAATTGTGTGGCTACCCAAGGAGCACAAATGAGGCGTACACATCACCAAGTCCAGAAGCACACTGACCCAAACTGACCACACCTAGCCAGCATGACCATTAGCATGACAAAGGTCACCACGCCAGTGAGTAGAAACAAAAGATCATATGGACTCCAGGTGAATGAGGGAGTTTGCCAATAGCTGAACCTGTTCATTATTAGTCATCCTTAGTAATATCATATATATATAGTAATATCATTAAATAATGATATATATATATATGAGGGCAGCAGCAGAATGAAAAAAACATCCATCATAAGCAACATAAAATGCAATAATTATACTCACATCTTGAATGGTAATGGGTCCATTGTCCGTCCCGGGATATCCGCCACCAATATCGAGGAGAGTGAAGTTGAAACCAATTTCAGATGCATAGTTGAACACCAGTCGTGCCAATCCTATAGCAGTTGCATACGCCGATGCATCTCCACAAAAACTACCAACATGGAAACTGAAATTTAATCAGTGTGTTTTGTTTATTACTTAGTATTAGAAAATAACAACCCCCATCACACGTATACATGTTAGCATATATAATTAGTGGTATTTTAGACATGTTAAGATTGCTTACACCATTCGTGTCTTGTCATTTGCATGTAAGCATATTGGTGAACTCCTAGTTTAACCAAATGACGCGCTTACAATTAATTCTTGTAAACGACACACTTTACATAAATAATCGTGTTAACGACACAATTTACAGAAAGATATTTTGTAAACGCCACACTATTCCTAAAAGGCTTGTCTGAGTGGAGGGACTTGACTAGTAATAACCAAAGGACAACTCGTACAATATACCCTTTTGTATTTATGTAAATTAGTAGAGCGTTCTTATTATTATTATTATTATTATTATTATTCCGCAAAGAAGTTTTATTACCACCTGTTGCATTAAAAAGTCATTACATTGCCAGCACTCTCGACGTAAATGATTAGAGATATGGTAATATTGCTATAGTGTAATTACCTGACGCCAACAACATTTAGACCAAGGTTTTTAGCCACATTCAGGAGATGTCTTGTATGGTTTACATCACATCCAAATTTATCACCCATTGGATCCAAGGCATTAGGGTCGTCAGCCAAAATCCGAATAACTAATCTAGAAAAATTGAAAATGAAAAAAAAGTTGTGTTGCGCAGCACTGTAATGTATTGTATTTGTAGTTATTTCAACGCATTTAACATGGTTTGTTTGCATCTTTAAATATTATTCTTTAATATTCTTTGAGATTCTGATTGCAAACAGGAAAATGAGGTGCAGTAATAAGTTATTGGAATGTGTTAACTATTATACATCTGTCGCCGTAACGCCTTAAGTTACAGCGTGCCGTAATTTTGCGGTATTTTACGGGGTATTTTCATATATAAGGAAATGCGAATTCCAAATATGGAATGATTATGCGCGTAAGCGTCCTCTAGTAATAAAAACATGGCTGACATCGGAGTTTGACCGGACTCCACACAAAGAAGTTCGCTGATTCTGTTCCTTGGAAGGAAAAGATGTATAATAATAAGGCTATTATGAGGATACCTCAAAGTATGCGCTCAGATAGTACGCAGCGCATCGACCTCCACTGTGCGTCGGTAGATACTCCAGCTGTACTGTCTTCGTGCATACTTTGAGGTATTCTTGTAATAACCTTACATACTCACTCTGCATTTGGAAAAATCTCTTTAGTTTTGTATAACTCATATTCGTTGTCGAATGTCATCAAACGTACATTTCGCTCCTCGGCAAATTGCAAATGTGTCTTAGACTTGCAAGGCACGGCATAAATGATACGGGACACTGGAACACCCATACTCATTACATCATCAATTTCCGTCTGCAGTACGAAACAATTGTATACAATTATATATTGTAATTATGTGACGCTAATTTGCACGTAAAATACGGCAGTATATATGTTTTTCACGCGTGTTGCTGATACTTCGATTCCATAACAAGATCTTATATCATATTTTTTTAATTCCATCTATACTTCTTGATTAGCTTCTATTATAGCAAGGTGTTCCCATGTTCGTACTGTGAACATTCTGGGGTGTTGTATGCTCCTAAAATCTCACATATTTACCTTGCTCGCGCAATCAAAACCAGTGCCAAGTGCTGCTAGTACTGCCAGAATTGCAGGATGAGGATTACACTTAACAGCTGCAGATGAAATGATGCCATAATTGTAAATAATTTTCTATTCTGGATGCCATGGTTACGGAAAATAATTCATAGTCGAAGATTTAAACAAATACTACTCGTATTTATATACAGAGTCTTTAAAGAAAATGTACAAGTCCATATGTAATGAATCCCATATTTAGAGCAGGAGAGTCATCACCTGCACACGTGCGGGAATTGAGTCCCAAGCGACGATAACAACACACACTAAAAACGCAAAGGCTCATGGGTAGACGCTTGTTTGTAAACAATGACACGCTATGGCCATCTGACGCATGCGCAGGTGACGACTCCCCCGATTTAAGTTCGCCACCTTACAAAGTATACGAGCACAATGAATATATATTTAAAACCAGTGAACTCTAAATAGTACTGCATGACTTAAATTAACTTTTCAATAAGCGGAATCATACATTCATACTGTATCCTCGAAATCAGGAAATCCATGACACCATTCGAAAAAAGTGTAAAAATTACGTTACTAAGAGTAAATAAAACAATCGAATCACTAAAATGTATCGCATTTTAAGTGTAAGGACGGATTAAAACAAATTAGGTTTGTATTTTTAACCTGTTTTATTGTCCATTACAAATACATATACAGCACAAGTGAAAAGGAAAAAAGACTGTATTTATTGAATAGAAGATTTGCTTAGTGTGAACAAAGTAGGCAAATATTAGACCTTGAGCCAGAGTGGATACATTCTCGCCTTTTGCTAATGATGCAAGGCCAATACTTCTTTGAATATTATTCATTTATATTTGTTTGTTTGATAAATTAAAAATTATATTTTGGCATATTGAAATACCGATTTTTTAAATAAGGTTAACGTATATCGCCTGAATCAATAATTCGTATTTTCAAGTCACCTGCGATGACGTCTAAAGGAAAAAAACAAATCAATCAATCGCAAGATTTTATGACGATCGAAATTAGTTCTCCAATTCTACATTGCATTTCATTTGAGATATCAATGATTTTTAATAGACAATCATTACCAGAATATCCTGCACTTACAAAATTGCGTTATTTATTTACTTAAATAAACACATTCTCACAACTTTTTTCAATAATAATAGCGTGTTCCCCGTCAAAAAGCATCATAGATTATCTGAAACACCCAAATTGCTTGGACGATGTGGTGCATAGTAATACAACCATTGAAGTGTCGAAATTTCAATAAGCCAAAACATTTCAGTAATTCAAATTTATCAAAAAAGCAAACATGACTTCAGTGATTAATGATTAATGATCTAACAACAATATGTGGCGTGCAAGAAGTGTTTGTATTCATATGTATCATTTGAATTGTAGATTTCCTGATTCCTGAGATCCATGACAACACTTCCCGAGAAATAACAAACTATTTCTTAACTGGTGCAATACTAAAAAAAAAACACTTTACGAGTGAGTGTTGAATATAGTTAATAATAAACAAAGTGACATATTTACCATAGAAAGGCTGAACTCGAGGGAGTACATTCTGCCATTCTTTGAATCGTCGAACTACCTCCCCAAGATTGATGATATAAAACGCGTCATCATTTTTCTGAAGTGTGCGAAATAAAGAAAAATATTACAGTCGTACAAAAGAGTGTGTTTGCTGTTCATTGTTACTTTTTCTACGAAAACGTGGGCTTGGGAAAAACTACCGGCTTCATTGGATAAGACGATATTCTGTTATGAGATGTTATGTCGAAGTTTAATTTAAAAATAATTGTTAATTTATTTACCTGCATTTCTTTCATGCCGACAGTTTGAACTATGATATCACGTGGTTTAATATGCTCTTCGACAGTTTGAACTTCATTTTCATCAAGCGTGTTCATTGCCAATGCGTTAATGTATTACAAACTATTTCAAATCTAAAAAAGAATTATAACAAGTAACTGCAAAAATATAAAGTAATTGTTTTCATTACAAAAAAATGATACTGCAAATTTGCAATTTAGCGGACATATACGTATATGTAAATATGATTTAGCGATTATTTATATTCGCATTCGTGCATATAAATCACGCACATTTGTTCGTGGTCGACAAAATTTTGTTATTATTGTCACAACCATATCATAAACATGGATTGCATTGTTTATGGGGGAAGAAATGGTGTTATAGTGTAACTTTTATATTTTCACAAAACATTTATAGTGGGAACAGGGGTTTTACCATCAATGTAGAAAACACATGCCGCCAATGACATGTTTGAATAAATATTGATGTGGCTTTCAGCGAAAATTCACCAAAAGGTGCATTAAATTCTTAAACAATTTTGACCGACAAATATTACACAATTGCCTTACAAATTTGATTTATTCCCATACTTCGGAACAAATTCTCGTCAATATATAATCAGTCATCGTGTCTCTTTTAAATAACTACCTGTCATAATATTTTTTTAATTTGCTATCTTTTGATTCAAAATAATATCAAAATAATATTTTGTTTAATTTGCTATCTTTTGATTCAAAACTTCATGTGAAATACTCGTAAAGTGTGTCGTGAAATTATTTTTTTCAATCACGTTATACAAAAACGGGAAATTAAATCAATTTACTCATGACATAAATACAACTACAGTATTGTTGTCCAAAATAAGTAATAAGTGTTGTATTTGCTTTGAGGTATTGCATATGATGCTGCTATAAACACAAGATAAAGCATTGAAACGTCAAGTTTGAGTTTATCGCCGCACAAAGACTCGATACGAAAATATATTATATCACAGTCCTTCTATCCCCGGTATGGAAACGGCTAGCGTTCTTTTGTCTCACACCTGGGACTAACCTGACGGACGAGGTCGCGTGAGTTGCGCCCTCCGCGGTGCTCCAATTTAAACACACGTCTGACAGAACGATGTAGTTTTTCACTTCCCCTGACGATTTTGTTTCGGTACCAATCAAATTGCAAGAACGATAGATAGTGACAGCCATTAAAGAGTAGCCATTCACGGCAGGGTTTACTTCTACCCAATGTTTCTCATCTTGCTGAAAACACGGCTTCGAATGACGGTGTTACCATAACCACCAAAATGAAATATTCATTGACTCATTGCAAGAAGGCGTGAACTTTGCGAATTCGCAGTATTGATTCTCTTGCCGACGATACGTACACTATTCTCTCAGGCGTTAGCGAGGCATGATACCGTTCGGTCACCCTATATTAAAACCTTACACCATGTACACTCTTGCTAAAAATAATAGGTTCCTAAGGCTGGTAGCATAAACCATACCTCCTATTGCGGACGCAATGTAAATTTAGTACCCCCTTGGGCAGACATATTGAAGAAAAAAACACCCCTATTGCAGACATATATTGAGAACATCCTACCCCAGCCGTTCGTTGTTGGTTTTTTTGCACTAAAGTGGAGTGTCATCAACTCAAACAAGCTACTTATGGTTGCTGTGTATGCAACTCCTGTTGGTGTCATTCGTTGTTTTATGGATCCGCCAATTCGGGGCCTAGGGCGGTATGGGAGTGGTTGTTGCAAGAGGAGACCTACAGCGGGGACAGCAGCCCTTTGAGTTAATTCCTGGAGGCCTATTGCAGACATTAGCATTTTAAAGGAAGCATATTTACCTCCCGCACGAGCCCGCTTTAAAATGTGAAAAACACCGCCTTTTCCCGCTAAATTTGGAACGCACATGGGGTAGTAACGGCATATAGAGTGACCCCCCTGGGTATTACGATACCGTCAGTATATTCTCATGAATATTCATTAAATCGCCAAATGTACTGTCATGCAAAGCGATACCTCATTGTATGACTTCACTTTGACCTCAATATTACAGGCAACTACAATGTAAACAAAACAAGTAAACACAATTGGCACTATGAAATTTGATCCTGCAATGTAAAGATTAATATCGGGAATTATATTCTGGTTTTAATATAGAAAAAACGGCGAGTACTAACATGCTGACATCGCTAAATTAAAATTTTCTCAAAATACCGTGGTTCAGGTTAACGCCCAAATTAACATTAATTTAATGCGGTGTGACAAAATAAAAAATCAGCCCACCAATTTTTAACGATATGTTTCGATCATAAAATGTCAAAATCGAAGACAAACATTGGTTACGCGCCGAAAGAAAGGTAAATAAAATATTTCAATCACCCCAAAAGTCAAACACGAAACATTTCTGGTTCAAAGGTATGAACATTTGTTCGAAAATGTGTCGCTGCAGTTAAAATAGATAAATTAAAGAACTACTTGCCGGCTAAAATATGACTTCATACAGATATCCTGGTCAAAAAAGTATTTGAAAATTCTGGAATAAACGACTGAGTTGTAAGAAAACTCAAAGCACTGACTTTGTCAAAAATAGTAACCGACTGTGTACTGAATACGTGAAAATGCTTTGCGCATATCCGAAACACGCCATTGCTAGGGAAGGCGGCCAATTCACACTTAATACAATATTCGTTTCCAGACCGGGGATATTGTGATTACTAGTATTTCTTAACATGTTTATCCAAGCAGACTGGTCATGAACAGCGAGTATATATATATATCCCACATATACCATTACACGTATTACCATTTTAGAAAAATGGAAAATCGATCTAAAAATAAAATATTTGATAGTTATTTTATATTTCATTTTGCAATGGGCATTTTTTGTAAGCTGTAATCAGTTGTTTTTTATTTTCGTAAAAATTTAATTTAAATAAATAAAAAAACGTTAATTCGTTGATATTGGCAAGTGTAAAATGTAATCAGCTATTTTATTCGTCCTTAATTTGTACAAAGATATTATTTTTTGAACGCGTATAAAGCATTTTCCGCTTTAAATGTTATAATTCGGACGCAATTTCCAATTTTGATTCTTAAACACAATTTATCAAATATGTCATAAACATGAAATTAGGAATTTGCTTTATCTGTAAAGTGTAAAAACCTATTTTTTACTGTAAATGCATTTTTTTTTTCATTTTATTTCCTGTAAAAACGTAAAATGCCTTTTTTTATTTCCTGTAACCTGTACCAGATATCACACATGTTCGTTAGAGTATAATATACCCAGAGTTCTTTGTTGAACAACAACGGTTGTTCAAGGTGGGAGAAATCCTGAACGTGAGTGACATGTGAATAATTTACAATATGCTGGCATGAAAACCTGATTATGCACATTGGTATTACATACATTTCCTCTCATATTGTTGCTGTTGATGAGTAAATAAATAAATAAATAAATAAATAAATAAATAAATAAATAAATAAATAAATAAATAAAATATACCCAATATACTGACCTCAGTACAGCTGTAACTGGAATATATTAGATCGACTGTTCGAGATATCGAGTAAGTGCATTGACGAGTTAGGAATACAAAGTATGGGGGCGCTGTTCCTACGCGCAGCTTCCTTTACATGAAGCTTATTCAAATTATGTGGTAAGGTAGCTGAAGAAGGGTATCATGTCATTTTTAATGACGAATTCTCTCCCTGTTATCACAGTCATTAATTTCGTTTACTATATATCATTTGAATATAGTGAACACATTGGAATATTCTAGGTAGTCATTAATTTACATAATCGTCACATGACAGATTAATTGTCAGACCTTGTTAAAATGACTGAACCCATGATTTCGAGACTGCATTATTACCGGCTGAAATTACACTGAATGTATATCCATGTAAACAAATGTAAAATCCACCGCCCAAACCATCCCTAGTATATTTCTAGAATTCCTATATTTTTGAAGGCCTTCAGTAAAATCATGTAAACCTTTTTTATACGGAATTTGTAATAGGAAATTGATCGATGCTGCTATTTTCAAATGGAATATGCCTGGGAATATGCTATAAAATCCTCCCATGTCAAATCCTCAGTGAGTGAATTCAGTACACGTGCGCGAGCGTTGACCTTTCGGAATTCATAGTCCTTGTTCCGGATCTTAAAAACAAATAAAACATCGAATGAAATATCCCAAATCAAGTTCCAGATATTTCAAGATACCGCGAGTCTGTGTATGAGCTTGGAATTTGAAGACTACATTTGAGATTTCTTCTTCTTAGCACATTAAACATGGTCAGCTTTATATCTTTGAAATAACGTGGTGTGTATAAAAAATACATAGAACAATTTGTGAGAACAAACTTGAAGTGCATAAAAGTATTGAGAAAACCAGTTTGACTTGAAAACTGAATATATGAAGACCCGCATTGTGATTGCAGGAAGGTAATTCACTGCTAGTTGGCAGTATTTCAAAATTCTCATCTCAATTTGTTCTTGTGAATCATCAGTTCAAATTTAAAACATATGACACTAATTTAGTAAAATAAATCAGACATCATAAAGACAAAGGATAGGAAACCGGGCATTTCCTTTGGTGCGAACTGCGTTAGAATGACATATGCTAATTAAGTCTTATTTGGTTTTAATGACCTTTAAACGAAGTTGAATTAATTCCTGCTGTTTATTGAAAATCTTCCTGTTATCAACAAATATGATTAGTATGAAAAAAACTGTATATAGCTAACTGTTGTTCAGTAACACAGATCATCTAATCATATGACACAAAATGTGCGATTCATAATATCTTTCACAATTTATTGAATCCTGAAAATAACTATATCACAATATTTTTATAACACCGGTAATGAAGTGTTGAGACAATTTAGAATTATTATTTTCCAGATTATTTCAAAAAACAGAGCACAAAAAATCGCATTGTTTCAAGAACTGTGACAGCTCTGCACATAGCGATTCTATTGTTAACCTCATATAATCCAATAATAAATTACAGTTAATATAACGAAGCATGTACAATAAACATTTTGATTTCCCTTGCTGTGTGCCCCAGTTTTCATCCTTCTGAA